CAGGATTGAATCAAAAATGTCTTTGAAGATTTTTTTTTAAAGTTTTGATAAAATATAAAACCTCAAAGAAAGTTTCTCCCATTGGTTGAGCTATGAACTTGAAAGGATTAACACTTGAATTGAAACTTCAAAGATTCTTTTCAATAATAAAAAGAATATTTTGTTTTTAACGTTTATTATATTAGTATGAATGGTTTTTTGATCATAATGAATATAATGATATACCAGTTGAAATAAATCCTCAAATGCCAAATTTACCATCAGTACTACATGTTGGTAATATTGATCCTGAAATATCTTTAACCAATGAAACAAAACCATCGGAAATAATTCAACAAATAGTTCATGCAGCTAAAAGACGATGGTCATCACCATTATTACTTGATTCCTTATCATCATTAAGTACAACAACAGAACAACAAACATCAAAACCAATAAATATATCTGTTAAAAGGTATTTTGATTTCTAAAAAACAAAAATTTTATTAAAAACAAAAAAAAACTCATTCCAATGTTATTCGTCCAGATTAAAATGTGTTGTAAGCTGAGCTTGATTGATTTTCCCTCCTTTTTTCTCTCGAAAGCACCATGACCTTATTTTTGTTTCTTCCCTTTTATTTTTTTGAAACAAATAATTTTTTACATTTATTTTCTTCGAAAATTTTCAGCAGAAATCGTCGACAAGATAAAAAAGAAGAAAAATCATCTCGATCTCGTTCTGTTGATTCCTCATTAAATGAAAAACAATCAAATCCAACAACAGTATCATCATCAACAGATTCAGCTGTTTATTCAATGTCAGATATCAGTTCATCAATAAGTACAACAGTTAAAAAACCATCACAATCATTAAAAGACATTTCACATTTCTTTCATTATTTTACTTTATCCAATGAAAAAACAAAATCAAAAACATTAACAAATATTCGAAGAAAAACATTACGAAAAAAATTAACTAATGAAACATTTATTTCGCCAGCAAATAAAGGTTAAAAATAAATAAAATTGATTTAAAATTGTTGATTTTTTTGAATCTATTTAGATGATGATATTTATGAAAGAATAAGTAATTCAAGTATTTGTTTTATTGATCAATCACCAAATCATGAAATTGATTTTGTTCAACAAACTTCTTTATTAAAATCAAAATTAATTCAACATGAAAATATTCTTAAAACATTAAAACAACAAATAAATCAAGTTGATCAACAAATATTAATTATTCAAGAAGATTCAAAAAATAATAATCAAGATATTAAACTATCCCCTTGTTCAAATCGTCAATTAATTAAGCGTCGTCATACATTTAATTCACTTTTTGATTTAAATTGTTTATTTATAGAAAAAGATAAATATTCATCCTCGTCTTTATATGCCTTACAACTTTTGTGATCGAGATTTTTTGTTTTGTTTTTGTGATAAAACCTTTTTTTTCTTTGTGTCTACAACTAATATGTATTCTTCAAACAAAGATTATATATATATTATATGTGTGTCATTGTGATATAAATATACGTTAATTAATATCAAAGGCGTCATTGTTTTTTAATCTTTATGAAGACGCAGACGTTATTTACTATTCGCTTGAGTTACGATAATTTGTTATTTAGTTCTTTTGAAAAGTACATCCGTTTGCATTCATGTTTATCAAACATCATTTTCTCGTTGCACTTTTCATCTTTTCCCACATCCATTCATAATCGGTAAAACGACAGATGTGAAAGAAAAAGCTGTGACATTTAGGATTAACGTACAGTTAGAGTCAGACAAGTTTTGCTCTGAGAAAGATTTCCGACTATCAAAATTCTCATTTAATGAAAAACGATCATCAATTAATCTTTCGAAAAGGTAATAAAATATTATTTAACGATGTTTATTTTCGATTTACATGATTTATTGTTTTTCATTATAAGAATTTTTCTACAGGATTTTATTTTTATCTATATAAAAATTATTGGCCACTATCTAAAAATGAAATAGATTCTTATTTGATTTATTGCTTAGCTCTTTATAACTACACAAAATCCCAGTCTAATTTCTATTGTATTATTTAAATGATTGGATATTGTTTAATCATTCAATATAAAGTAATTTGCTAGAGGGTGTGTGTGGGTGTGGGTGTGGGTGTGAATGCATATGTGTGTATCAACACCCACACCCACACCCTCAAGATTGATCAATATATATATATACTCAGTAAACTTTTCTTGCTCTTCTTTTTCTATAAAATACGAATTTTTTTTATTTATGTCATATTTTATTTAATATAACAATGTATTTTACATTCGTTATAAAAAGCGAGAGAGAACATCATCTTCTTCTAAAATAAAACTAATCGAATATTTCCATATATTTTTCATATTATCTTATTCTTTTAATCAAGTTTTAATAATTACAGATTGAAATTAATATCTACAGCATCTTATTATCACTTCTAAGACTTTCTAAATGAGATTTTTCAAGGGCTTGAAAGGGTAAAAAGACGGTGTACTCTGACGGTTTTTAATGAACTTTTTCTTCGCTACTTGTCTTAGTCAGCCAGCACTAATATAATAAGGTCAACGAGCGCTGATTGATTGTCTATTTTTACCCGTTTTTAATAAAGATACGCTTCTAACTATAAAGAAGTATCTTTGAGGAAAAGAAAAAACAAAAGGATTATTAAGAACTACTGCAGTATTCTCATGAAGAAAAACTTTAATGATTTTATTGCAAAAGATAAATAGTTATTGATGATAAAACAATTTGGCACTTACAAATTTTTATGCAATCAACTAATTGCATGTATCTTATCTTAAGTAGAATTTTTTTTCTATTTTCAAATTAGAAATAAAAGTAGTTATGATCAGCTTGTTTTTTTTCTCAGAATTTTCTATTAATATCATAGGAAAATATCGAATATACTTAACTAATAGAAAGTCTAGGATGAAATAAACCTTTATATAGTCACATGAATATTTTAGAACTGAAAAATATTACTATTAAGAATCTTTTTTTATGACATCGTAATATTTAGTCGATAATCGTTTTCTTTTTTATTATTCTTATCTTGATTCTGATCTAAATCATTAAAAATGAACTCATGATTATCTTCATCGTCTTGATTGATTTTTATATTGAAAACACGAAAAAAATACAATTATTAATTAGATTAATTAAATTGTTCTGCTGTGTTAAAATTTTATAAGATATTCCTATAATTATATTAAAAAAAAAGAGAGAAAAGTGTATCAGAATTGAGAAGACAATGAATAAAAATATAAAGTTATTTTTTCTTGTTGATAAGATATCTTTTGGAGAGAGAAAAAAAAACATGTTCTTACAAAATATCTTTAGTTGTGATCGTATGAAATCGTTTCTCTCCATAGAATTATTTAAAAATCAAACAGATTTTTTTTACAAGATATTAATACAAAATATATTGCTTAAATAGATTATTATCAATTTTATTTCAAATCGAAAAAAGTCTAATTAATTATAATAAAAATAAGATTTTCTTGTACTTTCTTTTCTTCTATGAGAAAAATCGAAACACAATTGAGATTTATTTTTTCCATTTGTTAAATCGATACGTATCGCTTATCTTAATTCGAATATTTATCAAATTTACTTATAATATTTAGATTTAATTATATTTTCTGACTGTTCATTGTAATGGTTAAAGATCATTATTGTTATTTTTTTAAAATTATTTAACATACGAATCAAAATAGCAATTAATCTAAAGATTAGTTATAATGAATAAAACAAATTTATTATCTTGAGATGTCAACTTGTATCGAAGCATGAAAATCTGCGTTCTACTTGACTTAGTATTTCAATATTATATATCTAAGCTATTTTTGTATCTATTATTTGTAAAGAAAACTACCTAACTCGTATGAATAAATAGAACATAACTTGTTGACATGAAACTTTTAAGATGATTAGGATAAAAAGACGACATACATGAGACAGATTTATAGAAAAAACTATAATTCTCTCATTTTATTAAATTTATCGACAAGTTGGCACTTTCTTTTCTACAGAGTAACTTACGTACTACGTAGTATTGTCAGTAAATTCTAATTCTAATTTTTTTTCTATTAGTTCTCCGATGAAATGTTAATATCTATAATTTTAAAAAATCTGCTAAAGCTTGTCAAAAAAGAATATCGTCAATATGTTAATTATCTTTTCTTGTAAACAAATTTTTAATTAATTAGTTCATGTTCACTCTTATAAAATTCGCTTAATCTTATTTACATATAGTATTAAATGGTGAAAAATTAAACATTTTCTTTATTTATTTAAATTTGAATTAATCTAAAATATAATTGACAAATTGTTTTCAATACAAGTTAAAATTTGATATATAGACAGATAAATTCTAGTGATTTTAAATTATTCTTTCTCTTATTATTAGGGTCAGTATAAATTTCGAATAGATTAAAAATATATAATTTAAATAAAATTTCTTTTGCTTTTAGAATTTCATTATGGAATATAAAAGATCAGTACAATCATCTGAAATAAATATTCATACAATTAAAAAGAATGTTTCATCTGAAATATGCCAAGTCTGTGTAGAATAAAATGTGAAATCTGCATATGGTGTTCAATCTTGTGCTTCATGTAAAATATTTTTTCGACGAAATGTTAATCTTGATTTAGTGAGTCAAAATATTGATTAGACTTTTAGTAAATTTATTTTTATTTTTAAATAGAATACAAATAAATGTATATTTGGTGACGAATGTCAAATAACCATAAAAGCTCGGCATACATGTCGATGTTGTAGATTAAAAAAATGTTTATCTGTTGGAATGAAAAAATATTTATTACGTGCATCACATAGAGCACAAGGGGGAATTAAAAAGAAATTATTAAAACAAAAACCAACATCTTCAATGATTATTCTTTATCCACTTGATTTACTTAATCATGATCGTTCATTATTATCTGTTGATCAATGGTCTCTATTATCAAATGTTAATAATGTTTATGATCATGCAAATCCTATTGAAAATATTCGCTATATCATTAATAGCCAATCAGTTTTCCCACCAAAACTACGTTTAAAAATGGCAAGTTTTTATGTGATGGATTTTATTCATTCAATGTATTCATTTGTTGAATCGTTTATTAAAATAGTTCCAGAATTTTCATCAATGAAAATTAATTATCGAACTACATTAATGAGAAGAAATATTCAAAATTTAGGTGGTTTTAATTGTCAATTCATGATGTCTCAAACAAATATGTTAAATGATTTTGCTTATTCAAATTCTCTTTCATCGACTTATGGATCTTGGATATTTAATGGGACTGTTCGAATTGTTCAGCAATTTGATCTTGATCAAATATTATTGAAACTATTACTTATTGCATTGGCTTTTTCTACATCCTCTGATGTTATTACGTTTGAAAATAATAATTGCAGTTACAGGTATTTATAACAGTAATGACAAAATAAGAGATGTTTTCTTTTTAATCTTTTCCATCGTGATTATGCATTTCTATCTTTAAAAGAAACTCTTTTCATCATTTCAACAGTTTTTCTTTTTCTTGTTACTTCATCAGCCAACAAAAATATCGATAATTTTTTAGTCTTGAAAATTATAAAATAATTAGTACGATTATATAATTCATATTGAATTGATGATGCATGATTATTCAATTTTCTTATTGAGTCTTTGAGTCTTCCCATTGTTATTTAAGAAAATACTCATTGGATTTAAAATATTAATCATCATTGTGAATATCCGTGTATTACAATTTATAATTATTTTCTTTTAGAACGTCGGATTATAGTCGATCAGATAATTTTATTGAAAGACGTTATCTTTCAATAAATGCAAAGTATTTATTTGAAATTCAAAATAAATATATTGAAGTTATGTTCAAATATATGATTTATCGATGTGGTTATTATCAAGCAGCACTACGTTTTGCAACTCTAATGAAAAATTTTCTTTATCAAAGTACTCTTTCAGCAAGTGCAACTGAAATAGCAAATCATGCGGATATGATAAGAACAATTGTTGATGAAACTGAACACTTATCATTATCTCATTACTAATTTAATTATTAAAAATTTTCTAGTCAATCTATATTTATTACACAGCTATACTTCTATTATATTATATTTAATTTTGTAGATTCTATTTTTGAATCTCTTCGATTATTTAACAATTCATCGATGTCTTCAATCATTTAATTATTTAAAACGATTGTATAATGAATCTATCCATAAACTTCGCTTGTTATACATAAAATATATGTACATAGAAGGCTTATTGAGTTAGTTTTGATCCTCCTAAGAGAATCATCTTGTATTAGATTTTAAAAGAAAAATATTAGTAGTTAAGCAAACAATTCAGCAATGACAGCAGTTAATAATCAATTATCTGTGCATTTCATTAGTTGAAAGAGTATCATTCGTATTCCATTGTCTAGATGTTGTTTCGGTGTAATATCTGTTTTTATACACATGAATTACGTGACCCTCACGATTTGTCCGTAGCGCATAATTTTCTTGCTCTGGATGCTCATATACTTCATGCGTATACCACAATATGTTTGGCTATGAAAGAAAAGAAAGATGTGATCTAGTTCGAATTCTCTTTACTCTTTTGAAACTTAAAAGTACCATAGATCAACAAATATCAAAGGTAAATAATATTCGTGCTTCATTTGAACTTGAAACATGGGGTGAAATTGAAGCCGAATAATCAGAAGCATCCTGAATAAGATAAGAACCCAATTCAATAGTGCTACTCTGCAGATATAGCGAGATTTTACTGGAGCCCGCAAGAAAAATCAGCGAATCCGAGAGGAAGGCATCGGTAAAAGACAGAATTTGGAAGTAGTGTTGTGGTCAGAAAGTTTTCGTTTTTCTCCAGGTGATCTATGACAGTTTTTAGCGTGAATGAGCACAAAATTAGTTGGAAATCACTGGAAAAAACGAAAAATTTCCAGCTGGAATACGGCCTTTTCGCTACTTTTATTTCTGACCTGGAAAATGAATGATAGGCCTCATAATTGTTTAGAATCGTTCATATTGTCAAGATTTTCTATAATATTTTTCTTTCCGTTATTTCCTTCGTTTCTACGAGTTATACAATGAACAGTTTCAACTGAATAGCTCATTGAACTTTCAAATACATGAACTTTAAAGGTAGTTATAGTAGAATTCATCACTATGAAAAATATATTAGTGCCTATCAAAATATTCATGGAGAACTATTTTAATTGAAGCATTAATTATTTATACACTATTTAATTATAGCCATACATCGATTGATGACATCGTTTTAATTATCTCAAACGTCTTGAAAATTCTTGTTTATCTTCATACCCTCAAGTCTAAGAAAAGAAAAAATTGTGATTACAGATTAAAGTAGAAATTCAAAAATACTTGACAAGTAGATTTTACGAAAAAACTTCTTTTTGTGTACTCAAAAACTGAGTACACTCTAGAATCGGTCAGTGTGGCCGGCCGTCGGCACGATAACTTGCGAAAGGAGAGTCAGACCGTGATGAAATTTTCCACACAGTTCAATCTCATGAATATCGCGGTCGAGTTCGAAGATGAGAAGAATCCCTCAAGAAATGGTTGAGTTATCGAAAAAATTGTCATTTTTGACCAGGCCATTCCTGAGGAGGAGCACAGGGAATTTTTTTCAAAAAATAAATCTTTCTCAGAATTATTCACAGCATATATAAATCGACTCAGTTTTTAACGCTGATTCTGAATCTGATATTATTTTTGAGCTAAACCATAGCTTTCTGATGAAATATCGCCTGAAAAACGTCTCAAAATGCACAAAAACTGCATCCAGAAATCAAATTGCCTAGTTTCTCATGATAATTTTGGTGTTCAAACATTCTAGAATGACTCATACATCCCATGCACTTTTTGCAGTACACATAACTTTCGGATGAAATCCGAAGTTTCCACATTTATTTTTATAAATATTAGACTTTGGAGTTAACTTTCTAGCTCCCTTTTATAAATATGTTGATATCGAATATATCGCTACTATTACTTAAACATACTTATACATACTGGTTTGACTCGAGTAAGTTTCATTTTTGAATTAGAATTGAAAATTATTCAAATTAAAAATAAGGTAATGAACCCTTTTAAATGTTAATGGAAATCATTTTGATAGGACCTGAAAAATTGAGTTTTTAGTACGTTAACATCAATGACTAATGTCTATAAGTATTTTATCAAATATTCAATATCATAAGAATAGTATTTATTAAAGAGAAGTTTTAACTTTACCATTTATCTTTATTAATCAAAAAAAACAATACGGATATATACACAAAATAAAGAAGATTTCATATTTTATTTTAATCGCTGGTCTCGGATTGCGAGTTTTTGAAAACACTTTTTAAAAACACAGGGAAAGGTAGAAAAAAATCAGAAAAAAAATATTGAAAATTTGCTGTTCAGATGCGAATTGAACGTTGTTTTAAACTTTTCCTGTATCAAATTAACATATGTACTAAATTTTTGTCAAGATTTCATTTGAATCCTTTCTTAAATTAAATTAAATGAGTCTGACATAATTAAATTGAATCGAAATATGTTTATTTACGTATTAATGTATTAATAGAAAATAAATCAGCCTATGGGTAAGGGTTCGTATTGTGTTTACACTCACATCCACCAACACTCAAAAGTCGAGTTCGAAGATGAGAAGAATCCCTCAAGAAATGGTTGAGTTATCGAAAAAATTGTCATTTTTGACCAGGCCATTCCTGAGGAGGAGCACAGGGAATTTTTTTCAAAAAATAAATCTTTCTCAGAATTATTCACAGCATATATAAATCGACTCAGTTTTTAACGCTGATTCTGAATCTGATATTATTTTTGAGCTAAACCATAGCTTTCTGATGAAATATCGCCTGAAAAACGTCTCAAAATGCACAAAAACTGCATCCAGAAATCAAATTGCCTAGTTTCTCATGATAATTTTGGTGTTCAAACATTCTAGAATGACTCATACATCCCATGCACTTTTTGCAGTACACATAACTTTCGGATGAAATCCGAAGTTTCCACATTTATTTTTATAAATATTAGACTTTGGAGTTAACTTTCTAGCTCCCTTTTATAAATATGTTGATATCGAATATATCGCTACTATTACTTAAACATACTTATACATACTGGTTTGACTCGAGTAAGTTTCATTTTTGAATTAGAATTGAAAATTATTCAAATTAAAAATAAGGTAATGAACCCTTTTAAATGTTAATGGAAATCATTTTGATAGGACCTGAAAAATTGAGTTTTTAGTACGTTAACATCAATGACTAATGTCTATAAGTATTTTATCAAATATTCAATATCATAAGAATAGTATTTATTAAAGAGAAGTTTTAACTTTACCATTTATCTTTATTAATCAAAAAAAACAATACGGATATATACACAAAATAAAGAAGATTTCATATTTTATTTTAATCGCTGGTCTCGGATTGCGAGTTTTTGAAAACACTTTTTAAAAACACAGGGAAAGGTAGAAAAAAANCCCACCAACACAAAAGCTCGCACAGCTACTCTTTCCTTAAGTTCAACGTATGTCAAATTTTTCATACAAAAGTGGATTTGAATCGCGGAGAAACTGTGCAGGTGTATCGTATATTCTTTTCTAAAAGTACTAGATTTCCCATCTACCTTTCTAAGTCTTCCTTTTATTATATCCTAGCATTAAATTTATTGTTCTTCTTATACTTAAAGACGTTCATATACAATTGTTTGACTGTAATAAGTGTCATCTTTCAAATGTATGTAAAATTTATTCAAGCCGAAAATAAGCTAATGAGCATTTTTAAATTTTAACGAGAGCGGCTTGGATAGGAGATTAAAAATTGAGTCCTTTTGTTACATCAGTATCAATGATGAATATCTATTTTTATTTTATTTGAAACCTTCACTAGCATAAGAATCATTTCTAGTAAAGAATACTATTAAATTTATCACTTTTCTTTATTAGTCAAAAAAATAACACGAATAATATACAAAATAAAGAAGATTCTATATTTTCGTTGAAATATATATGAAAAAAAACAAATATTCATGAATGATTTAATTTGACTATATTACATTTGAAATTTAATAATTAGAAAATTGTAGTTGTTTACAATTCGATGACATATATCAAAGAAATAAGAGAAAATGATCGCAGTAAAGCTAATATTAAGGAATATCGCCATTTTGTTTTAGATAAATGCTATCAAAGAAGCTTCATGCAATCGAAACAAAAATAAAATGATTTTCTTCTTTAAATGAAGAAAAATGACTTGTAGAATGAAAAGAATCAATCATCAAAACTATCTTCATCGTCATTATCATTATTTTGATTCGAATGATCAAGATTTCTTGTTGGATATGGTGTTAATTCTCTTCCCGCGATTTCTTCTCTACATGTCATCAAGCTATAGCTTGAACTGTTCTTCGTATATCATCAGATTCAATCATTTGATCATCAGTTGAAAGACTATCACTAGTATTCCAATGTCTAGCAATTGTTTTCGTACGATATCTTTGACGACGTTCTTGTCGTTTTGAATGAATGTGTTTAACTAAACGGTAAGTTCCATAAGTAGGTGCACCTATTGTTGTTCCAACAGCTAATAATGCAACGGCTCCAACAGCTGCTACTGGTATTGCTAATGATGCAGCACCAGCAACTAATCCACGAACTGTATGACGAACTAATGGTTTATCAGGATAAAAATTATATTTACATCCCAATGGAGAAAATCGACTTTCATGTGAACCTAAAAACAAACCATGTGTGTGCAACCACCATTACGAGATATATGTATCTAAAAATTGATTTTTAATAAAAAAAAAAAAAAAAAGAATTTTAGTTTTATTTATTTCTTGGGAAACGAACTTTACAACGAGGACATTTTTGTGCATTGTATTGATTTTGATCGATTTGTACTGGCCATGATTGAAGCATTTTTTCTCCTTGACGATATTCTTTACAATTCATTTTCTCATGCCACGGTGAATGACAAAAGAAACACCATTCGAATTGACATTCACTACAAAGAACTTTTCGTGGAATCGTTTTTTTTCCATCGAATTCCTTCAAATAAACGTTTATCAATTTGTTTAATTGAACAACACCGAGGACATGTTTTTATATGTGCTTCACGATTTATATCAGCATAAAAACGTTTATAACGTTCACTTATATTTCCATTATGATCATAATTAGATAATAGTGATAAAATTTCTTTACGAGTAAATATATGTGGACATGATGGACATGTTATACGAATACGAGTTTCGTTTATGTTTGTTGTGAAGTAATGATAAACACATTTTGAACATATTGATGAAGAACAACACAATAAAGGCTCGACTGATAGTACTTTGAAACATATTTTACATTCACTCATGGGGATTTCGGCTATTTGATTATCATTAAATAATGATGATAGAACATCGGTCACTAAAAATATATTTATTAAAATCATCTTCTTTTTTAACAAAAAAAGAGCTTGAATTCTGTCTCGAATTAATTAAAATATCAATCTATGATAGAAAACAATATTTAGTGTATCATCGATTGATTTATTACAAAAAGTATTTCTATCTTTATATTTTTTGTTTTCCTTTGGATTCTTCATAATCATTCGTTGTTAGAATTTCTATTTTATTTTTCTCTAAATTCACAAATCTACTAACGTACCTAATCGTGTTAATGGCGGATTTAATTGTTGTTCATGTAAATCCTATTGATGATTTGTATCATCATTACTACTTACATCGTCATCATGATCATCATCTTCATTAAGAGAAAGTTCAGGATAATACGATGTTAATGAATGATTATTCGATGTTTTGGATGAAGAACTTGATTTACTAATTGAAATGATTGAATGTTCGCCTAGCACTGTTGTTAATTGATTGTTATTTATTTTTATTAATTTTTTTATGGAATCATAAGAATTTTTTTCAAGATTGTTTTTCGAAATTGATTGATTGTTCAATATATTTGTATTTATATAAATTTGATGATTTAAATTAATATTATCTGATGATATTAATGATAAACTATCGGCAATAACTCGACGTACTGGAGGAGTTTTGTCAGATTTTATTGATGATTCATTTAATGATGAAGATAGCACTTTCTTTGACATTAATCTTTACCTTAATTTAGTAAAATAAAAATAAAAATAAAAAGGATTTATTTTATTTAAAAGAATGGAATCGTCTTAATTAATCAATTTAAAGTTTCCTTGACATTTCTAATGATAACGAATTTTAAAAGACTTCATTTACCTGAATATAGTCAAGAATGAATAATTCCTGAATTGTATTCTACATATAACAACTAGAAAGTTTATTATTTGAAAACAAAATTTTTTTATTTCATCGATAATTTTGTTTGCATAACATAAAAGAAAAGAAAGAAAAAGCTTCAAATGAGAATTAAAATCAATTTGTACATGGTATGGTCAACCGATAGCATATATGAAAACGAGAAAAAAAGAAATAATATTAAAAAACTTGTGTTTCTTTTTCGTAATTTCGTCGTTTTCTTTTTCTCTATTAAGGTTGAAAAAAGAATATAGAAAATGATCGAAGGCCAATAATGAAGAAGAGATAATTATCTACTTTTTTCATGTAAAACAACTCCATCGTCGACGATTGTCAATCGATATGAAACCTCAAAACGAAACTTCCTTTTTCTATTATGAATTTGGAGAATTATTATGAAAATTAATTTTTTTAAGATTATTCTATTTGATAAAAGTTTCTTTTCAACGAACTACATATTCAACAAGTAATTAAATGATTTCTATCTGCATATTAATTTTATATAATGACTAAGAATAATTTACCTTTTTATGCATTCATTTGAGATTGATATTATCAATTCAAATCATAGCGAAAGAATCAATCAGGAGGAAAAAAGTTATTTGATCTTTAAATCAGAAATTGTTTTTTTCTTAGTTCACTAAACAAATAACAAAAAAACAAGAAAATATTCCAGTTGTTCAAAATCGAAAACAATTTCAAGTTCAATTCGAAACAAATAGAAAAAAAGCGTGCTTTTAGTTAAACAATAAAAACTATTGAGAATTTTCTGTTTTATTTTCTGATGTTTTTAGTTTGGCTAAAGTTGGTATTGATGCTCGATTTAACTTTTTTGCTCGTTCTAATAAATAATCAAATGTCCAATAATGTAAATGAAGTTGATTTGGTATTGAAAGTGCTTGAATACGTTGCATTTGTTCATTGTAAGATGGAACATCAATGTTATGAATAGAACTAAATTCAAATCTTCCTATTTGTTTTGTTGACGATACTAATGGTCCACGAGTTATATCAACATGGCAATCACCCATTTTATAAACAGTTAAACGAGTTTGATTATCATTTGGTGATATTAAACGAAGCATATGAGGAATTTGAGCAAGTTTAAATCTATCATATGCAAACATTTCTTGGGCAACTGATTCATTTATATTTAAACATTCAAAACGAAGATCAAGATCACGCAATTTATATGCCTGAATTGATAAGCAGCGAAGATCATCTCGATTAGGCTTCCAATCTCCTAATTATAAAAATATGTTTCTATTCAACTAATCATTTTTATTATTTACCTAAATTAAGTTTTGCATCATAAGCAAATGAACCAAATTGAAATTGTGGTGGTGGAAATGAACAAAGTTCAACATTATAATTTGATTTAAAAGCTGTTTCTAGTATATATCCAATGATAAATGAGCATGTTCTCCAATATGCCCGGTTTTGTTCTTCACATTGATCTTCCATGAAATGAAGAAATTTTAATGTACAATCACGGTCTAATGGACGATTCATATCCCATATATGTTGATCATCAATTAGAGCTAAACAAGATCGATCAACTAAAATTGATGATAAATGTTGAGCACAATGATATGGAGTTGATAAATTTTTATTCATTAACAATTTTTTTGATTCAATTGGATCATGAACATCAACTTCGATTTTTTCTACTCGACGAATGCGTTCCATTTGAATTTGACGTTCATTGTTGAATATTCGAAGACGATGAGCACGAATTTCGTCGTTGGTTAAATGACTTCGAGATAATACAGATGATGTTGATTGATAACGAGCTGTTAGATTTGAACAATATCGAATTTTTAGCATTTTTCTTTCTTAATAAATCACAAGTATATCAAGAATTTTATTTAAAAAAGATTCCTATTCTTACTTTGAAAAGAAAGAATTATATTAGTCATAGCTGCTTTATCTAGCCACCAATTAGAAAAACTATCGTTTTCATCGCTTTTCAGTCGACACAATCTACGCGAAAAAATAAAACCAAATTCTGCTTAATAGCTCATATGTTATGACTTGTGTCGGGTATTTATTTTTTGCGTTATTCTTATTTTTTTTCTACAATAGTTCCAGTAATTAGGGTTAAAAGAATGTGAGTTAGATGGAGCTCGTACAACTCTATCTTGGTCCACTATCAGAGAGAATCTTTTGAAAAAATTCTTGAATCTTGACCTAAGATATCCTACGTATCGTATATATGATTAAATTCGATAGTGTGAATGAGCGGAAAACATTTGAAGAAAAATCATTTCTTATCGTTTGACTTTTACTTCTCTCGTATTGATGTGTAAAATAGCTCAGATTCTACTTTCATCATCGCTAGTGAAAATTTTGGATAGCAGTGAAACTACAATTCCTAATTCTAATTTGCCTATTTTGTCATTAAACCAAGTCGACCCCATTGCCAATCAAGGCAAAATTGATGGAATGAATTTGCTGTTTTTGTTGACTAGATTATTGTGGAGACACTTTAGCGTCCAATATCGTCTTACGCTAAGGTTTCGTTGGTATGTGCTCTTCGGTATACCGCTTGTAATCAATGGTGGTGCTGTTGGATTGGATACTCGTCGAACTTTATCCTTTGTATTGATAGACATATGACAAGTATCATCAGAAACAGAGTGTGAATATCATGAAGCCGAACTTAATGTTAATTTTGAATATAAAAATGAACTTAATCAGTATAAAACAGAGAAACTATCGGGTGTCCCAGGAATAATGAGCCTCTCAGTATTTTACCAATATCTCCGTCAGTTTTCATCGCACAGATTTAACTCTTTTCACCAAAAGATGCCTCGTTCAGTTCTCTACAAAACCGTATAAAACGTTTTAATGTAAAAAGGAACCGTGAAAAATTCTAGGCTACAGACTACAAGACACCAANTAAAAGATAATTATTTTTTGAAAAAAACGCAGTTACAAAACTCATCATTTTGGTGTCTTGTAGTCTGTAGCCTAGAATTTTTCACGGTACCTTTTTACATTAAAACATTTTATACGGGTTTGTGGAGAACTGAACGAGGAATCTTTTGGTGAAAAGAGTTAAATCTGTGCGACGAAAAATGACGGAGATATTGGTAAAATACTGAGAGGCTCACTATTCCTGGGAACCCGATATTATCTTATTTTTATCATGGTAATATGACCTGCCGTTGTCCACATTTCACTACTCTATATGCAACGATACGGTTACACAAATCTATTTCAAAGACGAAAAGAAAAATGATATCGGTGAGCTCATTGCTCACGTTAGATTATTAAAAGAAATACGGAAATGTTGATTCCAACCGTCATTAGATCGCCATATTCAAGAAACTACTATTATTGAACTAATAAAAGTCGAATACGAATGGAATGATGGATCAAAATTTACATATGTATTTCAAAGATACATTCAATCGAAGCTTCTCCGTATTAATCAATAAAAATGAAAAATAAAACTCATTCGAAGAGAAATACTATTGGCTTTGGCATATAAAAATGTAATGATAATAAGATCTATAAGTCAAAAACATCTGCATTTAAATATAAACAGCCGCAAAACTTTTCAAAGTTGCTGTTAACGAAGCCGTCCAGTAAGTTTCGATCAAATCTTTGTCTGAAAAAGAAAAATATTGAATGAGATTGAATTAGAGTTCATGTTATTAATTTCGTATTCATGTACTCAATTATGAGTAATTATTTGATAGTTTTTCCAGTAAATTTCTTCATATCGAATAATATTAAATTCACCAAAATAGGAAAATCATGTTTGTTTTATAACATACTCTTCAAAACTAAAATTAAATACACTGATACGATCTCTGTGTCAAACTAACACTAGAAAAATACTTGACAAATATAAATGTAATTATCTTTTTTTGTAAACTTTTGTTTCTCACACAATGATTAATAATACAATTTTCATCTTCAGCAACAGCAACAAATTTACTACAATGTGAATATAAATTCATTTGATATTTCAAGATCTTTATTAAACAATTTCATTTTAATAATTAAACTTGATCAATCAAGTCAATAAATCTAAAATGTGTCGCAAAATAAAATAAAGAAATTATAGAAAATTTAGTTATAAAATTTTCATCAGCAATATTTACTACTCAATACAGTAACATATTCATAAATACAAAGAATAATAATAATAAATAAAATAGTCGATATATGTTTGCTTTTTTTCTTAACGGATTAGTTTTAATATTTAAATTTTCAAAATTTTTATACATTTTTGTGTGAACTAGCAAGACGTGAATCTTTTTTTTTCAAAACTTTGCTTACAATTCATCTTTCTCTTCATGAACTTAAATTTCGATTGAGTTCTTAAAAAAACAATTTGAGATCTTACTCAATCGATGAAGAGGAGATAAATTATATTGATTACAATTATTGTACATAGCAAGATCAAGTAGAATATAGATATTTCATATAAATGAAAAGAAACTGCTTTATTTTCCTATTTATGAATATTATTTCTTTGCTTGCTCGATTATATTTAAGATAATATTTTTTCTAACTACTTAACGATAATTTTTATTCGTTTATTTAATTAATTTATTATTTTTTAATAAATTTGATATAAAAATGAAGTTATTTAGAAAAATCTAATCGAAGAAAATGAGATATATCTTGATATAAAATTGAATCGTGCTTCATTCGAAATACTTCGATTGAAAAATTAGATACTAACCAAATAGATTATTATAATATTTACATAGAATCAGATTAAATTATATAAAATTCGATGGAAACAGTTTTTTTTATAAATCGTATTAATATTTATGTTTCATTGTCTCTGGTTAGATTTACCTGTAATTATTTATTAAAAAATAGAAAATTTTATAATAGTAGTAAAAATGAATACTATAACAATAAGAGAAAAACTCAAATATGAAATAAAATAATACTTGAATATTATATTGTTGTCATGGTATTATGGTACTCGTTAGAAATTTGATTTAATTTATCTAGAAGAAAAGAAAAACTATCCTTTTACATCAAAATCTTATAACAAAAATAACCTTTTTTTTTGTAAGTTCTTCAGTTACTCCTCTAAGAGCTTTAGTTCGTTGATAATCAACATCTTTATAATTAGGTATCTGATGAGCTTGTCGGCAATCGATAACTGAAATTTCAAATGTTTGCGTTTTTATTTGTGAAACTTTCCTGTAAGTATTAACATTTGTTGGTTCCATTATTTCCGATGAATTCAAATAAGGATCTGATGATGAATCTATCAAATAGGCAAAAACAATTGTAATTGAAAGACAGAGGTAATTCATGGAATTTATTTTACCAAGACTTGTCAACTTTTTGTCACGATTCATCGATTGAAACAGACGTCCAGGCATCATTGGAAAATAATCAACATCCGAATACGATCTATTGATTAGATTATCCATCGGTGAAACATTTGAACTAACATTCAATGCATCCACAGTTGATGAGCATCTCTCTTTGTCCTTTTTATTTTTCTTCTTCTTTTTCTTCTTTACATTACTATTAACATTGATATCGTTTGTAGATTGACTTTTTCTCAATTGATCATCATTCTTTTAAAATGAAACAGAAAAAATAAATCCTTTAAATTTATGAAAACTTTAGTATTGATAAAAATATTTTTGATTTCAACATATAGTTTGCTTTGAATATACCTGATATTCATGGTGAATATAATGTGATTTCATATTTTGAAGATGCTCATTACTTCGATCTTTAGATGGAAACCGTTTACGTATAAATGATAACATGATAAAACACAATATTCTTAAATTTGAAATCTATAATATTACTTTCTATTTGTTGAGTAATGTCTCATTAAAAAGAAATGAATCACTCTGTTTTTAGTCAGATTTCATGACTCATTTCATTTATAATTGGTTCATATTAAACCATTCCAATTGATTTTCTTTTCTGTCAAATAATTGATGAGCCCACCGTTTTAGTTTTCATCACAAATACCTAATGTATAGATAGATCTAAACAAATACGTAACACTGAATTTTCTTTTTCATTCTATTGTCAGTTGAAGAATCTTTTCTGGTCTCTTATTTTTAGGATGGTATGATCTTCTTTTCTTCTTTCTTTTTCAACTCTTTCATGCAATGTAAACCATTTACGGTACAAATCAAATTATTAGCAATAATTTATTAATATGTTAAAAGGCAATTGATTATCTTGTGCTTAGTCACTGTGCAACAATATTCATTTTTTTGCAATGTAAATCTAAGTTAATTGTATTCAGAAAAGCATATTATTGACAAAAACAATAACATAGAAAATCATAGCCTATAAGTAAACCAAATTTCATTCATGAGGCGTATAACATATATAGCAATGACCAACAACTATATCAAATGTAGAGACAATCATGCATAGCCAGATCGATGACATTTTCGTGAATGATCCAACAACACCTGAACGACATTTAGAGCACTACAACTAAACCGAATCGCCTCTGAACTACCATCCTTAAAAACACAAGTCCGTTTATAGTCCACTTTCAAACGATTTAAAATACTCCATCTTCTACGCAAAGACCTTCCGTGGCTTCAAGCTGATCGAATTAGACTTTCAAAAATCTCAAGAGGTATTCAACCAGAAAGATCAAGTGTTGGACATATTCAAATAATGTGCCAAGGAAAAAGTAAGAAATCATCGTCGCCACCCGATAATTTAATCTTGAATTACGAAATATACTCAGTCATATAATTCATTCGAACTCAGCTGATTTATCAATTTAAATTTTAAATTTCAATATCGACTGATAATTTATATACTATAGAAGAAATTACATGTACGTAAACATTCAAAAATAGATTTTAAGAATCTATTTGTGTTAGACGATGTATATTAGTGAACCGAGAAATAGATTATCAACAGAATTCGAAATTGATTAGCAATATGAAAAAAAACAATCGAGGTGATAATTGATTCTATATAATGTTCTTCAATTACTCTATCTAACCTATATGTTTCTAAAGAAAAATGAACCGAGCAGAAATAAATCCTAGCTGACATCACTGATTCATTTTATAAATGTTATTTTAAATCTTCGTCTAAAAAATAAAGTAATTCTTTCAAAAATATTTCAATGAATTTTAAAGTATAAAAAATATTAAATGAAATTATTTCAACCATTTGCCAAAACCTAATTTACTTTTGGCGTGTAATTCTTCAGTCTGTTATTGATAATGAAATAAAAGCAAAAATATTGTTCATATTCAAATACACAAAACAAAATCGTTTTGTTTTACTTGTTCTTCATGAATTATTAACAAATCAAAATCGTTGTTCTATGTTTTGATACATTCTGATTATGACACAAAAACGTGCATAGATAAACTGTCTACTCTACTCACCATTCATTAAATATATAATTGGCTCGTATTTGACCAATCTTTAATTTTTTTTTTCTGGGACATGAAATAAATTTTCAAAATATAAAAAGAATATGTTAATTAGAAGAAGAAAAAATTGAATGTTCAAATGATAATCATTATTAATGAAATCGTAACATCGGCAAATAGAAGAGGTCGCTTTCGTCGCTTATTTATTTTTGTTTATTTCTTAATAGAAAAATGTACAAATAAACTAGAGAATGAATATTGATTAAGATTCTTCATTCTAGATGATGAACAAATTCGCTCTTTCTCTTGTGTCTAACCGTATTTCACCATCAATAATCGGATTTCGGCCATTCTCAATTTCAAATACATATTTTCAAAGTGCTCCATTCAAATCGAAAACTAGTGAATATTGATATTGATTCGATTGAAAATATATATATATGTACATCAATATTGTTTAGATGATCAATCATGTGTTGCTGAAGAAAAAAATGAAAAAGTGTTGCGAGTTGAAGATTCATTAAAAGATTTATCATCAGTAAAATGGCGAACAGAATTTAATGGAAAACGATTATGGCCCCATGATCAATGGCCTGAACGCGATTTGGTAAACTATCCTCCATATAAACTTCGTGAAGCACCAAATCCAGTTCGTTGGTATTGTGTACCTGAATCATGGTTTAAATTTTTTTATGAAAAAACTGGTGTTACTGGACCATATATGTTTTTCTATGGTTTACTTGTCTATGGATTTAGTAAAGAATATATTGTTTTATGGTATGATTTTACTGAATATCTTATATTGGCTGCAGCTGTTATTACTGTCGTTAAAAAGTAAACGAAAAATATCTCTTCATATAATTTTATTTTTTTCTTGAATTCATTCGTTGTAGACTTGGTCCATCGATTAGTGATGCTTTTCGAGGTTGGCATCAAGATGAAGTTGGTCGATATAATTCAGTTGTTAATAATTCAAAAGCAATGGCTGGAAAAATGTTGCATTCTTATGAAGAATCTTTAGAACGTGCTAAAAGTATTGGAGCACTAGCTGAAGCACGAAAAGATATAATTAATATGGGTTTAGAAACATCCTATAGAGAACGAATGAAACAATTATATGAATCTGTTAAACGTCGTCTAGATTATCAAGTTGCTTTACAAAATGCAAGAAAAGATTTTGAAAGAACGAATATGATTAATTGGATTACAAGTGAAGTTAAAAAATCGATTACAGATAAACAAGAAAAAGATACTTTACAATCATGTATTAATCAACTTAGACAAATTGCTTCGCAACAACGATCATTAAATAGTTAATCCTTATCAATAACAATTGAAGACATTCCTCCTTGATTAGAAAGTTTTCTTTTTTTCTTCATTGAATTTTCTTTAACAAATATAGACTAAAAATAACAGCAACCAGTAGAAAAAGATACATTTCATTAATATTTACTTTATTTTATTTTTCAGACATTTTAGAAAAAAAATTAAAAAAAATTAAAATATATACACAATGATTTGGATACAACTATTTATTCTTTCATTTTATAATTACAATAATATTAAATTATTCTATAATTTTATCTATAGTTACAATGAAATCAAGAAAGATAATTTTCTCCACTTCAACGACAAAAGAAAATGTTTAAAACTTTAAAAAACTTGAAGGAAAATCGAGAGATGAATATGTCTAACGAAATGGTTCATGATAGAATCTTTTTCTTGAAAATGTTCGCAAATGGTTTAAACATTTTTTAATTGAATTTAATTATGAAGAAATTTTTATTATTAACATTTCATTTCTTTTGAAATTTTAATTCGAACGAAATCTTGCTGGATTATCTATTTCTATAGAAAAAAACAGAGAAGCTTCGAAGAAAAGAATTATTTTCTTTTTTCAATGAAAATAGTTAAATTTGATTTTATTCATGTGTTGACTATTATGAGTAGTCATTTAGATAAATATTGATTTCATCCTATTTTCTATGATATACAGTTCGAACGAATAAAATTCAAATTTTAGAATGAACAGCAGCTATTATAAGATTGATGTTATCAATAATTTATAAAAAAAAAACAAAAAAAGGAAAAGAAAAGAAATAATTTACAACGGTATGATTTTGTTTTATTTAGAATTGATTAAATAAATAATTTTCTTTCAATGCTCAATATTTCGTGATTTTATCTTTAGTTAAAAGAAGATTCATTAGGAATAATTTAAAACATTTTTCTATTTTTAGATTGATTGATTAAGAAAATAAAAAAATGAAAAAACTAAACATTCGCCAATTTGGTATAGGAACAATAATGAAATATCGTCCAATAATATCATCAGATTCAAAGTAAGTTTTTGATTTCTTTATGAAAACAAAAAGAAATGAAATTTAATTTAAAAAAAAAAATTTCAGATATATATTTACAATTGGTGATGGATGTGTTTATGTTTGGATTGTTAAAACAGGAGAATGTTTAAGATTAATTAATCAAACAACAAATTCAAATGATCAACAAACAATCGTATCGATTGCAATCAATCCAAATAATAGACTTCAAGTATTTGTTTATTTTATTTTTAGATTGATTGATAGTTCTTTCTTTTTTAGTTATGTGTTGGAGAACAAAATGGAATTATCAATATTTGGGATTATGAAGATGGAATTCTTATTCATGTAAGTTTTTCTTTTTCATCATTTTCAATTAGATCATAGAAACTTAGCAATGCTCTTTCATTAGATTATTTTTACATAACGTAATTTAATTTGTTTTGTATTGATTTTGTTATTGATATTTGTTTAATAATACTTTGAAACATCTCTCAATTCAATTTCAATTCATTTTTTTCTTATTTGAGCGCTTTTAATTCAATTTGATTAAGATTTTTATTGAAGAATTGCATGAAAAACAAAAAATGACTTTTTTCGAATATTATTTTCTTCTAATTATCAAATCTTTCTATTTATTATTGCAGTTCTTTATGGAAAAAATCTCAGTAATTAAAACTGATCAATGCATTTTTCACCAGTTAGCTATTTAAATTGTTGGGAAACAAAATAAAATGCTGATAGTATCTAAGAAAACATAACGCATCATTGATTATAGTTTTCAGTTATTCAATGATCATTTTGAATCAACATATTTCACTTGCTTTTTTGTTTTTATTCAAAAAAATAAAAATTTATCTTTTTTTCTTTTCGATAAATTTTTGAAAAAAACATCTCAGTAGAAAAGTATCAGCAAGAATTTTTTTATAAAATAAACATAAATTAAAGTCTAATTAGCCTTAAACGCTTTTCAAGAATTTTAATTATAAAACTTGATTATGAAAAAATACAAAAAAAATCGAATTAAGAAGTTTGCTAAATATTTTTAAATAATAGATTAATATCACACATATATCTATTCATAATAAAGATTCTAATTTGAAATCTTGTTAGAAGAAGATCAAAAAAAAGAAAAAGAATTTATTTTTCAATTTAGTTTGATTACATATTTGTGAATAGTTCGATATTTTTCAAAAACTAAACAATATCTACTTTGATAAAAAATAAAGATAAGATTATTTCGTCTTTAATCTAATCAAAAAATATATTACGATTATGAAGTATAAAATAGTTCAAATTTTTTTTATAAAGATTTTTACGAATTGTACTTTTAAAAAATAATTCATTTAGACAATTAAAGTTGATTTGGAAATAATTGATTTATATTCAATAACAAATAATGGTTTATTTGTTTTTTCTAAAAATAATAAAAATGGTAAAAATTTATTAAATAAATAAATAAATAAATAAAAATAAAAATATTTTATTTAAATATTTTCAAGTTTATTCTCTCTATCGAATTGAATCCATACGTCATAATTGTTCGCCTCTCATAGTATTTGATAAGCTTCCATGTTTACCAACGAATATTTCATTTGATCAAAAAGTAATTTTTCTATTATAAAAATAAAAATTTGAATATCTATGTTTCAAGGGTGAATTATCTATATTTATCAATGTCGATGGAACAATAATTTACTTATTAAATCTAATAAATAATCAAATAAAAAGTTTACCAATAACAAAAAAAAATTTATCATATCATGATAAAGTAACATGCGCACAGATTCATCCAAATCAAGAATGTGTTGCTTTAGGAACACAATCTGGTAGAATTGCTCTTTGGTTTGAATTTTTAGTTTGAATTTTTTCAATTAATAATCTTTATTTTTATTCGTTTTAATCAAAAGGTATAATTTTGTGAATTCGACAACAAAAGAAACGACGGTTTCATATTTACATTGGCATTCATTACCTGTTATTTGTTTAACATTTTCATTTGATGGTTGTTATTTTTAATATAATTAAAATAAACTCTTGAATATTTATTTTATCTAGGTTCATATTTATTATCTGGTGGTCATGAATGTGTACTTGTGAAATGGTTTTATAGAAAAAGTGAACCAACATTCCGACCAAGACTCGGTTCACCAATTATTCATATTACTTCTTCAAATGATCAAACATTTTATGTGTCAACTCATTCAGATAATTGTTTGTCGAATTTTATTTTGAATTTTATTTTGGTTTTATTTCGTTTCTTTCTGTTTAGCTCTTCATTTAATTGGAAGTAATTTATCAATTCAACAAACGATTGCCGGAATAAATCATATGTTTCTTCCTCAACAAGCTTCATTACCAGCTGGTAAAAATAATTTTGTTACTTTTTGATTAATAATTTTTAAAAAATCTAAGAAATTCATAGAGAATACAGAATCAATCAGAATTTCAGATAAGATCATCAATAGTCAGAATATGAGATTCAATTAATAACTTGATAAAATTTATTATTAGTTTCTTTTTTCATGAATATTTTTCAATTAATAAATTTTTAATTAAAATTGGCGGATTTTACCTATGAAAATAATTTCATCAAATTTTTAAAATTTTTCTAAGAACATAGTTTAAAAAACATCTCTAAATTAAATAATTAATCCGTTGCGCTTTTTTTCTAATATAAACTATCGATCGTGCAATTTCTGTTGACGAGTCTGTCAAGGCATATGTTTGATATTTTATTTCGAATTAATTTTCAAAAAGAAAACTTTTTTTCTAATTTTAAGGTATTAATATATTTATACGTCAACAAGCTCTTGTTATGAATAGTGGAAAACCTGGTTATCTTCAATTTATGTCAATTGAAAATGGAAAATTAATTTTTAATGTAAGAACAACACATAAAACAAAAGTTCGACTTGAAATAAATTGAAATTTTTAGTTGGACATTGTTGGAGAAAATTATGTTTCACCAAATGATATAACAGAACAATGTCTTTTTACAGATATTAAACGTCTGGTTATAGATCCAACAGGTGTGATAATTCTCTTATCAATTTTTATTTATTTAAAACGATTTTTTTTATTTAAAAAAAATCGTTAGACACATGGTTAGTTACTTTTGAAGAACGTTCATCAAATTCAAATTCAAACACAGATGATCATCAAAATGAAAGAAAACTTCGTTTTTGGATGTTTAATCAGATAACGAATGAGTAAGATAAAAATTTGGAAATAATGATTTAAATTAATTTAAAAGTAAAAAAGATTTGAATTAAACACGACAATTTTATATCCGCACGGACAAGAAACATTAAGTCAAATGTTATTTCATCCAAATAAACTTGAACTAGCAACAACTGGAAATGATGGATTTCTTAAAATTTGGAATTTTATTCAACAAAATCCAATAACAAGTAAAAGTCTTTTTTTGATTGAAGTGAATTCTCTATTTCTTTAAATTGAATATTATGCAATTAAATTAACAAAAATTAATTTCGACTATTTATTATAATAAAAAATTAATTATGCAAACTTTTCTTTTCTATGTTCTAAAATCAGAAAGATAAAATGTGATGACTTTTTCTTTCTTTGTTTGTAAATTTCTTTTGAGAATTTAATCGAATCTAAACATTCAATTTTCTTTTTTAACTTCAAAATGAATAATTTGATAGAATTAGAAGTAATTAGTTACAATCTTAATGAAAAGATATTTTGCTTATTCTATTTATTAAATAACCAAAAAGAAAGTAAGTTCCTATCATTCTTTCTTTTTGTTGAATAATTCGAAATCTAATAAATATTATCATAACAAAATGTATTGGATCAAAATTCTATACAAATTAAGTATCAATTAATATGTATATATAATTAATTAGAAATATTAGAAATAAATAAATAAATAAATATGAACAAAATATTTAGAACGCGTATCACATTGGCGTTGTTTATCTGGTCACACACATCGTTCATATTCAAGCTCAGCATTATCATATTATAAATTATCAACATCAAATGAAATGAATTTATGTTGTTCATTTGAACATTTAGTTACTGTTTGGATTGATAAAATCAATGATTTAAATGAAGAATCTCGTTATGAATATTCAAGTTGTTTTGCTCATTTTGACCGAAAAAATTCAGTTCAATTTATTATATTTAATAATGACCAAATTCTTGTTTGTCATAAAACATTAGTGAATTTATGGAACTGTTTAAATGGACAATTTATTAAATCATTTTCATGGCATGTTCATACCTATGCTAAAGATCCAAAATCATCTTTTGTTGCTTTATTCGATAAAAGTTTTCGTAAGTTATTTTTTCTTGTTAATTTCAATAATTAAATTAAACACTTTTCTTTTCTCTTTTCAGTTCATTTTTATTCATTTTCTGATGGAAAATGTCATTCACGTAAAAGTTCATTATTTCGACGTGTAACATCTGCTTCATATATTCCAAATAAAAAATCATCGTCATTTATACCATTTCAACATTCTCGATTAATTTTTTATATTCCAGAACAAGTAAGATTAGTTTCAAATATTTTCTATTTAAACCAACAAAATCAATGTTCATCTTTTCTATTGAATATTGTTATCTTTTCAATCAGTAGTCAATTAAGTCAAATTTTCTACTCATAAATCTAATTGATTATTTAGATTCATCTTGATTATAACCTTTTTTTCATTTAAACTTCTTTTTTATATGATGTAGTGTATAAAGTTTTTAGCAGACAAAAATAATAATTGTCATTGTTTTATCCAAATGAGGAATTTCTTTTATCTTAGATTTAGATTTCAATTAATTTCAATTTTATAAGGAAAGAAATTAACATTAAAAAGTATAACTTTTTCAACAGAATATAATAAAATACATTTATTTGACGTCATCTATTGATCGATTTTATCGTTGGAGCATAAAATTGATCACATCATTTCATTTTCAAATATTTACTTTTATGAAATTTTTATCAACAAATTTCTCATAAGAACCGTTTTTTCTTCTTTTTTCCAGTTTTTATCAAATGATCATTTATAAACAGAAAAGATGATGTAAAAAAAGATTTAAGGATTTTGCTAATATACATATTAGAAATCGTGTTCGAAGTATTTCTTTTCTCTTTTGATTCTTTTGACAAAAAATGCGAAGTTGATTGATCAAAACTCTTTTCTTAGAATCCTTTGAATAATTTATACAGAAAAAAAATTCATTATTTTCATGTATAAAAGTTGTTAATAATAGATTGTTTCTATTTGAAAGAATTATTTAGACATTCAGTAAGAATAAAAAGATTTTTTTCGATGATCTTCGATTAAAATTTATTTTCATATCTAGTTTCGATTTAGAAAACTTACACATTATTTTCCAAAAGTAAATATTTATTTTGTTTATAGTTTTAAATTAAATTAAATTGTAGAAAACAAAATGAAAACGATAACTAAGAGCAATTAATTTTTTTTTCTATCGATTTATATTGTCGAAAGTAAACTCAAATAAATAATAACTTTATTTTTTATTCGAATAAAAATTCATTCATTTAAGGGTTTAAAAACATTTGTTGATGATGATGATGACGATGATAATGATGATGAAAACAATTTAATTCAAATCAATCAAATTAAAGATAAAACAAACGAAGAAAAAACTATTTTGGCTAATTTAATTCGTCAATCTCAACAATTTTCTCAACAAGATGTTATTGTTAAACAGAAATCTTTTGACGATTTAACTAAATTAAATAGAACAATAAATAATCTTAATCAACAAGTTTGTTTTGCTTTATTTTTCATTATTTATTTTTCTGTATTTTTTCTTTTAAATAGTTTTTAACAACACCAGCTTATCTTTTACCATCAATTGATAATTATTGTATTGATTCATTGAAACGAATGCTTTTACCAAACCAATATGAAAATAAAAGGTTCCTTATATGTTTAAATCATTTGAAAAAGAAACCTTTTTATTTTTAGTGAAACTTCTTTAAATGATGATATATCAATCGATCACTTATCAACAATGTCTGTTGATTCTCAACAAGATTTATAAGTAGAAAAAGAAGAAGAAAAAATCAAAAGAAATATCTTTGTTTTTCTGTTTTTGTTTTTTTTCTGATTTGTTATTTAATATGAAACGATAAAAAAAACATCATCTTGTCATTTATAAAGTTAAATTCGATATTCGAAGAAGAAAAAAAAACAAATCATGTTGAATATATTGATATTCTTTGTTGTTGTTTTTTAAGATTTTACTCTTCTTAGAATTAAACTTTCAGTTAAATGATTCAACTTATTGATTAATAACAATCAATAAAAAAATTAAAAAAAGTAAGTGATGATGTTTGAAAATATTTTATTCCATGAGAATAATTCTTCTTTTTCTGCTTTTGAAAATCGATTAAAAATTAAAGCATGGTAAGAAATAAGAATTCGCTCACTGCTGTTCATTTTCTATTTTTCCAAATTTGTTTTTATTGATTAATTTTAAAGAAAAAATACGGTTTTAAAAATTGATTCATTTTTTTCTCGTTAGAATGTCTCCTAATGCATTTAGTCGCATATTCAGTATAACATTAAATACTGTATTTAAACGATTTCTATTATCATTGATTCGTACAACATTAATTTATATAATTGCATTATTATTTGTTCATTTACCAACATTTTATTATTATATAACAACATTAGGAAAAGATGATCGAAAATATGGAAAACAAAAAAGAATTCGATCACAATTAATTGATTCATCTGATCCATCATCACCATATAGAGCTGTCGAAGTTCTTCATCAACTTCAAACTCAACCCGAAGATCAACTTGAAACATTAGCAGTTATTTCTGATCTTTGTCTTCAACGTCATGCAGACAAAGAAACTTTAGGTGTTAGAGAAATAATTGATGTTCAAGACGAAACACAGCCTAATGGAAAAATTTATAAGAAGGTTTTTGGATGTTTTTTTAATTTATGGAAAAAAAGATTTGTTTTTCTTTTCAAAAAAAATACTTTGTAGTTCCTATTGGGTGACTATAAATTTACAAAATATAGTGAAGCTTGTGATCGAATTAATTCCATTGGTCGTGGTTTATTATCATTTGGTTTTAAATCTGGTGATAAAATTTTAATTTATGCTGAAACACGTCCTGAATGGTTATTAACTGCTTTGGCAGCTTTTCGTCATGGTTTAACACTTGTTACACTTTATTCGACTTTAGGTGAAGAGGCTCTTAAACATGGAATAAATGAATCAGAAGTTAAAATTATTATTACATCACATGAACTTATTTTTAAACTTGATGTAAAATTATTATTAATTCTTATTAACAGAAAAAACTGAAGCAATTTATTTTATTTTTATTTCCTAGAAAACATTGGATCAAACAGAAAAAGTTCGCTATGTTATCTATTTTCCACCTCTTATTAAAACACAAGAGAATAAAATACCAAATGATAAAAATAATATTCAATTTATTTGTTTAAATCAATTAGAAGAACAAGGAAAATCTTCACATATTGGTCAGTTTTATTTATTTAATTTTATTTAATCATTATTTAATTTTATTGTTTTTTAATTTAGATGAATCTATATTAAATAAACGACCTGATAAAGCTGATATTGCTGTTATTATGTATACAAGTGGAAGTACTGGAACACCTAAAGGTTTGTTCACATTTAAAGAAGTAAACCTTCTACATACATATATCTATGTATTCAATGTAATAAAAATCAAATTTCTTATAGATCTTCTTTTAAGACTGAAAACAAAATTTTTTTTTTTAAATTTAGGTGTATTAATAAAACATGAAAATATTGTTGCTGCAATGACTGGTCAAAAAGAACGAGTTTTTCCAATGGTTGATGTTGAAAATGATGTTTACATTGCTTATTTACCATTAGCTCATATTCTTGAACTTTGTTGTGGTTTGTTAATTTAGTTTTTATATTAATAAATAATTTCTCTTTTTTAAATTCAATAGAAATTCTTATTTTTTATTTGGGTATTAAATGTGGTTATTCATCTCCTCAAACATTAACTGATCAATCTACAGCTATAATGCGTGGTCACAAAGGTGATTTACAAGTTCTTCGACCGCATTTAATGTGTTGTGTACCTGTAAGAATTTATTTATTTTTATTTTTGAAAAACAAAAATTTTCTAAATATATATATTATTCTTTCTATTTTGTTAAAATCTAGACAATTCTTGATCGTGTTCATAAAGCAGTTAATGAAAAAATTAATCAATCAAATTTCATTCAACGTCAATTATTTTTTTTAACATATAAAATGAAAATTAAACGTTTAGAACTTGGTCTTGAAAGTCCATATCTCGATCGGTTCGATAATTATTTTCTTTTATATAATGATTTAATAAATTATTTTAATTTAGAGTAATATTTTCTCGTTTTAATCAATTAGTTCTTGGTGGTCGAGTTAAAACAATGTTATGTGGTGGAGCAGTTTTAAGTGAAGAAACTCAACGTTTTGTTCAAGCTGCCCTTTGTGTAACCCTTTTTCAAGGCTATGGTCTTACTGAAACATGTGCAGCTGGAACTATTGCTGATCGTTTGTTATTTTATTTTATTTTATTTCTCATATTTTTGTTTGTTGTTATCTATTTAAAGGATATGATATAACAATTGGCCGAGCTGGATATCCGCTTGTTTCATGTGAAATTCGTTTAGAAAATTGGGACGAAGGACAATATAAAAATACAGATAAGCCAAATCCACGCGGAGAAATACTTATTGGTGGAAAAGTTGTTGCCAATGGTTATTTTGCTGAAGCATCAAAAGAAAATTTTAATTTTAAATTTATTGGTGGACAAAGATTTTTTGCGACTGGTGATATTGGAGAAGTTTTTCCCGATGGAACAATTAAAATTATTGGTTTGAATTTTTATTCAAACAAGAAAAAGAAGAAATGAATATTTTATTTATTTTAGATCGAAAAAAAGATTTGGTTAAATTACGTGGTGGTGAATATGTTTCATTAACAAAAGTTGAAATGGCAATTAGTAAAATACCTACTATTGAAAATTGTTGTGTTTGCGCATCAGCTTCTTCTGAATTTACTGTTGCTTTAATTTGTCCAAATATAAAACAAATGGCGGTGAGTTTTTTCTTTTATTAATTATTTACTTTTAATGTGCAAAAAAAAACAAATGATTAAAAGTTTAATTGAAATTTTTCTCATAGATAATACATGATTTGATTAGTTTCAAATATTCTATAGAAATTTATTATTAATATTTTGAGTAAATTGTTTTTCTTTGTTTGTCTCGATAGGATTATACAGAAAGACATTATGATGAAAAAGAATGGCAAAAATTAGTTGATAATGATGATTTAAATGAAGACATACTTAAACAAATTCAAGATGGTTGTAAAAAAGGTGGAATTGAAAGATTTGAAACTCCACAACGTATTAAAATCGTAAAAGAAGCTTGGACACCAGAAACAGGTCTTGTTACTGATGCATTAAAATTAAAAAGAAAAGCTATCGAACAAAAATATAAATTTGATATTGAATTACTCTATGAAGAAAATCAACAAAAATCAACTGGAAAAAAAATCAATAAAAATAAAAATCAATTAAATAGTGAGAATCAAACGAATATTCCAAGTTCAAAAAATGAAAATGAGAATTCAAACAAAAAACAACAATAAATAACAATCGATCAATTAAAGCATTATCTTTGTTTCATATTAAAATCTATTATATTGTTTATTTCATCGTTTAGTCCTTATCATATTAAAACTATTCCTTACTTTTCTATTATTAACTATTCAAGTTTTTTTTTGTTCTTTTTTCAATAAAAAAGTTTTGTTTTTGTTCTTTTTTTTTCAAGTTAAATTTTCATTAACAACTTTTTTTTTTAATATAAAAATAATCTTAATTAAATAAGAATAACAGTTAGAATTCTTACGGAGAAATTAAAAAACAAAGAAGATTTTTATTTGTTTAATTGTCTTCACTATATTTCTTATAAAACTGCATAAGATCAATCATTGTCTGCCTAAAATAATAAATTCAATTTAAATTCTTAAACTGCAAGTAAAATAATTTAACATATTTTAAAACTTACTAAGAAAATCATTAGAATCTTTTCTCGAAACAGATCGTTAAAGAATAAATTCATCGGAATAGAATTTAAAAAAAAACGATCGAATTGCTTTCTATAATAGTACGCACGAAGCAATATTAGAATGTTTTCAAAAATTTTACTATAATTTAATTTAATTTTTACTTAACTTAATGTAAGTACAAAATATTTTTTAACATTGATTATACACTCTATCAATCTCTTGATGAAAATATTTTTAATTTATATTTCAATTATTTAATATCATAAATCATGAAGTGATGATCGTACGAGAAGTTCTTTATCAATCATTTTTATTCATTAAATATTTCTTTTGGGCAACAAAAAAAAACAGCAACAAATCTATACTAGTATACGTACAAAATTTAATATTAAAAAAATATAATTTTCTCACCCTATGAACTTCTTTTACTCTCGGTCAATAAATTGTATCATAGATCAACGATCTATTCAAAATAAATACTTTATGGGGTCAATAAAAAATTTGCTTTGTTTTATTGATATAATTGGATTTATTTACATTTAGTTTTCTTTTTCAAAACAAAGAAGATTTACTATATTGAAGAAATTTATTTCTAATTTGTAAATCAATATTATTATTAAATTTTATTTTTGCCGAGACTTCATACGTATGTCTATTAAATGAATAGAGGAAAAAGGACAAGAATAATATCGAATAAGTCTATACTAATATAAATCAATAAATTTCGTTTGTCTTCTTTAATGACACTTTTAAATTATCAAGTGGATTTTGTTTTTTTTCTTTAAAAAGAATCAAACTGAAGTGTGTTCACCTCTTTTGAATTTATTTGAACAATGCTTCGAGCTCCTGAATAAAAGATCATGATTGGTTTCATTCTTCAAATAGCATTGAATTTATTTAAACAATTTTAGTTCGTATTCATTTATTTCTAATTTCTCATTGAAATAAATCATTAATCAATTTGTTTTAAGAAAAAATTTTTAAAAATATTATTCGTTTTTTTTTGTTTTTCTTGATAAGATAATCATAGTCTACTAGTAACATCTTATTGAAAAAAAACGAACATTTCAATTAATAATAGTTTGTTCAAAAATAGAAGAGTAGATACAGTGGAAATGATTCAATCTATCTTTTTTTTTATTACTATATTTTCTATTTGATCAAGTGGAAGAAGAGAAAAAAATGAAAGAACAAAGAACATATATGAACAACAATGAAATGATCGTTTGATTTCTATACAAACATTGACTCTTTATTCAATGAATAAATTCCAAGTGTTTTTGGTCAAGTGAAGAAGCTTATTCTCAATTAACTTTTATACTTTTTCAGATACAAAAATCTGAACTATTTTATGATATTAATAATAAAAAAATTATGAATAAATATCAATATTTAATTAATTCTCATTTATATGATTCAGTTTCAACTTTTAAAAAAGTAAATCCAATTCTATCAAGTAATCTATCAAATATCAATACAATTCAAGTATGTTTTAAGCTTTTTCTTTTAGGTAAAAGAAAATTTATTTTAAATTAATCAAATTTTAATAAAAAAAACATAGATTTTGCTTTAATTTTCTCATATCGATTAATTTATATCGTAGATACGAGATGAATATTTAATTCTTTCAAAAAATAAATAATTATCTAGTTTATTCGAAATAGATTGACATAGAGTATCACTGTTGATCTCGAACGATATTTCTTCTTCTTCTTTTTTTTGTTTTATTGAAGCGTGATGACATTTTGTTTTCATACGTGTGTTGAAAGTAGAATAGATATGAGGAGAGAACAAAAATGAATAATTCGATTTCTATACTTCAATAAAAAAAACGAAAAAAAAACGTGAGAGATGATCTTAATTTCATTTTCTATTTCTTGATTGGTAAATCGAAAGAGATTCTTTATTGATTCTCAATTCTTTTTTATTCTAACCTTATTCTTATAGATTGATTCGTAAAGTGTATCAAATTCGTTTTTCTTTTTTGACGAATGTGATAACCTTCGCATACATAGAAATTACACCACGGACTATCGTTACTTTTTTCTTTTTTCTTTTTTTTTATATAAAAGAATTCTAAAGAGAAAAAGAAAGATTGTCTCTTTTTCTCTTGACATTTCTATAGGTGAGACATTTCTTGTTGAACATCATTCATGGCGTTACGTATACCACAAACAAAAATGACTACTATACGACAACAGGTATTGAAACGAATATTTCTTCTCGTGTTTGTTGACACAGGTCTTTCTTCTTTTTTTTACATTGAATCAATATAAAAGATCATTGAAAATGAAATATTTCGAATACTAAACTCGACATTGAAAGAGAACAAGTATAAAATAATTTACTCGTAAAATTTATCAATAAGAAAATGAAAAATGTTTTTTTTTCTTCTATTTCTTCTTTTATTTATGTTTTCTTAATTGTTAAGTTCAATTGAATAGTATGAACTTTTGTTGCTCTTGTTGTTATCGCTGTAATTTATTTATTTCAAATTTTATTTATTTTCGAAAATCAATTTATATTAAAGAATCTCAAGCAGACAACCAAGTAATGTTTGTTTTGTTTTGGTTAAATGAGCTCTTTCATTTTTGTGTTTTCGAACTCACAAATTGAGTTCTTCAAAAACAAAACAAAACTAATATTCTATTTCTTCTTAACCTAATTTAAATGAGAAAAACAATTTAAACAAAAGTTTACTTTTTTTTTTTAAAAAAAAATGAAAATTTGTTAATTTTTTCGGATAATCGATAAGATGACATTTAATAGATAATATTGAAAAAGAAAAAGAACTATAAATAAATGCGAGTACACTTTGATAGGTAATAATAGGTGTGTGGATTTATCTAAAGATAATCTTTTTCGTGTATGTAAATGAATAGATCTTTAGAGTTCGATAATCTTTTCATAATGAACTAAATAAGAAATTACATCATTAAACATTTCGCCACTATTTTAACATAGTTAAATTCGAACAAATTATTTTACTCGATAGTTTCAACTAGAATAAGTTTAACTTCATTAATATTCTTTATATAAGACAACGTTTTTTTTATAACAAATTTGATTTTAGATGCATTTATATAGGAAAAATAGAAAAAATCATTCGTTCAATATTTATTTGATTGATTGATAGATAGATAGGACTGTTGTTGGATGTCTATGTGAACTGAATCGATCCATATATCAATCTAAATAAATAACTAAAATAAAATAGAATAGTTTGCTATTACATAAACTATTTCTATGCAAAAATAAAGCAATGTATTTTTTCTTTGTTATCAAGAATAGCCGAGAAATTTTCATTAAACGATATTTTTTTATTTTTACTTTGAATTCATTAGAAAATTTTTCGGTTTTCTTCTTCGTCTTCTTCGCTGAAAACACAGAATAAATTTTTAATCACGTAAATTCTTAAACGTTTCACAAATAGCAACGATAAATAGATAAGATAAAAATATGCCACGGAACAAAAACAAAAAATACTAAAGAAACGACAAGCTTTAATCTATTCACTTTTTTTATTCAATCTAATGGAGAAATTTTAAGTTTTCTTTTCTCCCAAAAAAAAACAAGTTAAAGATAAAATGAAATTATGTTTATTGGTGGACATGAAAAAAATATGATTTCTGATTCAGTTTTACTTCGAGAAACTTTAGGCAAATATATTCAATGGAAATCGAAGGTATTTCTTTGTATTTAACTTTGTTTATTTAACAAAAGCAAAAAATTAAACTAAGAAATTTCTTTTTGTTTAGCGTCGTGCCGAACCCTATCTTCGTTCCGAACCATATGTTCGTTCAACAGCAGCATCAGCAACAAAAACAGATTCAATAAATTTAATCAATAATGAAATAACTTCAAGTGATAATCGTTCATCAAATATATCTCCTCCAAGTCTTCCGCCTCCGCCTCCTCCTCCTCCTCCTCCTCCCCCTCCTTCATTACCATTAACTCCATCATCAATAACACCATTAACATCATTAACAAATTTAAAAAGTCCATCATATCGTATCACTGTTGATGATCTTCATCAATCTCCACTTCTTCAAAATTTATCTTCAACAAATAATGATTATCGTTCATCAATATCATCAACTAATATTAATAAAAATAATTCAACAATATCAAGACTAATTGAAAATCGTCGAGAATCAGATTCAAATTCAATAAATAAAGAACAACAACAACAACAACAACAAACAGCTCCGAGAATTCGAGAAATAAGTTCAAATGTTGGTTTTGTTTCATTACCAGACCAAGTTCATAGGCGAGCTATTAAAAAAGGTTTTGAATTCAACTTAATGGTTGTTGGTAAGTAGATTTTTCTTTAATTTAACTAAAGAAAAGGAGAAATTTATTTATTCGAATTTCTAAATTAATAAAAACTATGAAAAGGTCAATCCGGTTTGGGAAAATCAACATTTATAAATACATTATTTCAAACAGAACTCTATGGTCAAGATTTTCCATCAACTGTTCATCGAAAAAAGAAAACTGTAACAATTGATTCATCATCAATTATTTTAAAAGAAAAAGGCGTACAATTACGTTTAACTATTGTTGATACACCTGGCTTTGGAGATTCAGTTGATAATTCGAATTGGTTGAGTTTCAGTTATTTTTTATTTTGAAAAGAAAAATCTATTGATGTTGTTATTTTATTTTATTTTTTAGTTGGCAACCTATTATTGATTATATTGATTCGAAATATGAAGAATATCTAAATGCCGAATCTAGAGTTATTCGTAAAACACATATTATTGATAATCGTGTTCATTGTTGTCTATATTTTATTACACCCACTGGTCATAGGTTAGTCTATTTTACAATATATTTTAAAGAGAAGAAGAAAAATTAAAATCGAAAATTTTTCTTTAGTCTTCAATCATTAGATATTGAATTTATGAAACGACTTCATGATCGTGTCAATATAATACCAGTTATAGCAAAAGCTGATACATTAACATCAGATGAATTACGTTTATTTAAAAAATCTATTATGCAAGACATAACAAATGAAAAAATCAAACTTTATGAATTTCCTGATTATAATAATAATGATGAAAATAAATTAAATAAAATTTACAAAGATAAAGTTCCATTTGCTGTTGTGGGAAGTAATTTTGTTTTAGAACGTACAAATAAACGTACAAGAGTTCGACAATATACTTGGGGAACTGTCGATGGTAAACGTTTTTTTATTCACACTCTCAAGAAAAAAGAGCATTAAAAGATAAATTCATCTTTGTTTCATTCTTAGTTGAAGATGAAGCTCATAGTGATTTTATTCCATTAAGAAGTATGATTATTAAAACACATTTGAATGATTTACGTGATGTTACACATAATATTCATTATGAGAATTATCGTTATAAAAAATTAAGTTCATTCAATGGAAATGAATCAAAAAATGGAAAAACATTACAAACATGTTCAATTAATAAGTTCGATACTAAAATCATTTTCGTTTGTTTTAATTTGTTTTTCTATAGAAATTTATTATCACAATTAGAAGATGAACGAATGGAAACAGAAGAAAGATTAGAGAAAATGTCTCGAGATATGGAAAATGTTTATCAATCAAAAGTTGAAGAAAAATTACAAAAACTTGAAGAAAATAAACGAAATGTTTATTCAAATATCTTTTTTTTTTGTAATTTCTATTTAAATATATTTCTTTATTTTATGTTTAGCTTTTAAGAACTCAAGACAATTTTCGATTAAATATTCAACAAGAAGAAGAAAAACTTGAACGAAAACGTCAAGAATTTGAAAATATTCGACATCAATGGGAAGAAAGTTTCAATAAACCACCATTTAATGATCAAAATATTTCAATCTCGTAAATATTAGGTGTTTTTATTTTCACATCTTATTTTTCTTCTTTTTAGAAAACCAACAAAAAAAGGTCTTTTCTAAATTGATTGATCATTGCAATTTTTTTCTTTAACTATCTCATCTATACTAATATCAGTTTTTTTCCACCAGTTTTCCTTCTTTTTGTTCTATGCTTTGTGCTTAGATCTTTTTTTTCTTTTCAATCACTTGAATTCTAATAAATATAATATACTTCAATCTTATTTAAGAATATTAATTTTTTCAGATAAACTTAATCCAAGAATATTCCATTAACGAATAAAATAATTTGTTAATATTTTATTACTGAGAGTCTGCTTATCAATCTTCATTCACATAATTCTAATACACGTTTACAATTAAATTTTTTTGAAAAAATTAGTCATACAATGTAAAAGATAAATAAGTTACTGATACAACACCAAATACTTAGTTAATTCCATTGAAATATGAATTGAAATAAAACCAACTTCAACTACTCAGATAACAACAGAAAAAATACATAAATAATTCGATTATATAATATTGTTATTAATGTTTTTCAACTTTTCTTGATAGTCAACTTTACAATAGTAATTCTCGAATAAGATTTCAAATTAGACTCCAACCTGCTATGATCTGAAAATAATCAAAATTTCAAATCAAGAATCTATTGCTAAAAGTTTATATGTATCTATGAAATAAAAATGTATACTATGAATGAATTTGTCAGTGCTACTGATTACTTTCTAGATATCTATTAGTCATATTGAGATCTTCAATTAGTAAAATCATAATCTTAACTTAGATTTCTACCATGGAAAGTTTGATAAACTAAAGACTTGAACAATTCATGTCTATATATTTCTTGTAGTTAAATTATTGAATTAAATATAATCTATCAGCATCAGAGACATGCACAGGGCAGGACGGTCCTACTGTCCTGTAGGACAGGATGAGATTTAGATTTTGTCCTGTCCTGCCACCTGCCAGGACTATATGTAGCCCACATGACAGGCAAGGATAGGAGAAAAAATTATACCCTGTGCACGTCTCTGGTACCCAGGCCGAGCGTTACGACCTGTTTAGATTCAGATATGCTTAAACAATCTGAGCTATATATTTTAGATTTTTCATACATCATGAAAAAGTAAGGATTAAACTTGACGTATTTCAATTGTAATCAATGAGTTTGCAAAAGCAACAATTTAGAACTTTTCCGAATTCAACTTTATTAATTATTTATTTTGAGAAATGAGATCTGATGATAACTCTCTGTAAAGTTTTTCGTTCTACTTAGATTTATTTTATGATTTCATTTTTATTCCCTTTCTTTCTGGAACCAATGCATATGAATGAACAGCATACAACGCCCGCTATTTAACATGCGCTTCCTTTTCTTTTATTAGATATTTCTTTTGTCCTATACGTTTTTCTGTCTTTTTTTCTATGGCGTGTGAGTGTGAGTATGTTGTCTTTTTTATTTCTTAAGAAACAAAAAAAACACTCATGTTGAGTATTACCATTTCGAATATGAATTATATCATGCAGTATAAAACACTTATTATGTTTATGATGCATTTCCAATAATAGTAGCAGTACAATTAATGTTATATATTTTGTAGAAGAAATTAACATCGTTCTTATAAGACCTTCATATCTAACTAAATAATATAATTCTACAATATGTTGGCAGCGTTTTTAACAGCAGGTATCAGCCTTTATGACAGTATCCATAATACTTGCAATATCGATTTGATACTCTGTTTTGTACTTTACTCATAAAAACAAACTATCAAGCAGATACCTGCCCAGGTTGAGCATTACGACGACTAGATACGGCCGTATACGCGGAATTTACGACCGTATACGGGCCGTATTTTAACATTTTGGTATGCGCCGTATTACTGCCGTATATCGTCGTGTCGTATACGGCCGTATCATAAACAGGAAACGACCAAGCACTGCTACGTATACGACTGTAACACCATCGTAACCGACCGTTTACGGCCGTAATTCTGAACAAACAGAAAACTTCATTCATAAACCCCTCCGATCGATAGTGACCACACTACAGACATCAATTCTACCACATTTCCATGGAAGTCACACTAAAAAATGCAAGCAGCCAAAAAACGTACTGCAAATCACACCGAAAAATCACAGAAATCATACTTCCAACAGATCTTTTCGAAACACTCTTTATACCCTAACTCTACCGAGAACACCTAAAGCTATCTCCCTATGATTTTACGTGCATCAAACAGCAAAAATCATGAAAAATCTAAAACAACACAAAAAACATCGAACAAAACCTGCTAAAATCACCTTCGAATGAACTATCGGAGAGAATCGTGGATAGCAGCATTAGATCGAGAGCATCAAGAAATCCTTATTAGGTGATTTCTGCTCCATTCTACACCGAGGATCATGAGATATCTGAAAAATAGAAAAAGCATCAAAGAAATCCTGCTAAAATCACCTTTTGGAGGAAACATCGTACACTGAAAACAAAAAAGATACCGTACCGAACTTAAAAAAGTTCCGAATTTTGAAACGAATTCTAAACCTTTTTAACTATCGTACGAAACTGGTTTGTATGAAACCTATTCCAATAGACAAACTTAAAATTAGGTTTCGCAGATTAAGTTCCGTAATATCAATTCAATAATATATAGAGCTGTCATCAAGCTGGCGTACTAAGTCACCGGAAAATATGAAATTCAAATCTGTTTTGCCTTTTACATTATACTGAATTAGAATAGGAGTTTGGTTGAGAGCAGCACTATTGACCCGACTTATCCTTTTCGTGCGTCAGAAATCTTTACGTCGATCATCAAACTCCAAAAACTCATATTATCAAATATACTCCTTACGCAGAAAAGAAATAAACGAGGTCAATAATGCTGTTCTCAATTAGTTTATCACTCTACTTCAAGATAAAATAAACAGATCAACTCATCTTGAATATCATACTTTCCGATGGCTAGACAGGCCGTTATAATGGCAGCTCTGCTTTACAGAACTCGGAACGCAAAGTTAAAACGTCAGAGTTGCATGAGTATCATCGCAAACTCTTCCTATTATTTCAAATTCACCCAAATTAAGGTCGACTCTCCCATAATTGCCGCGTTCAGAACGGGTTCAAAATGCTCTTTCTACCCAAGTAAGCAAAAAATGAAGGGAGACTGCCGCATGACTAGTCAGAAATGTCCGCAGCTGCCGTCAAGTCTAGTCTGAAACATCTTGCATACCCGTCTTGTCTAGTCAGCTTAATGAGGAGTGTCTTGCAAACACGTCTGTACTAGTCTGAAA